CTCTGGAATCAACCTAGTGAAACTCCTTTGCACCCCCTCCAGTGCCAAAGCATCCTTTCTCAAGTAGACCCTTCTTCGGGTCTAGGCCCGAAACGTCAGCCTTCCTGCTCCTCTGATGCTGCTTGGCCTGTTGTGTTCATCCAGCTCTACACCTTGTTATCTCAGATTCTCCAGCATCTGCAGTTCCTACTATCTCCAAGCAAATGTGTTCTTATAAGAACAAATGTGAAAATGCTGCTCACTGTCAGATACCAGGTAGTAATGGAATCAATGAACCCAGTGATAGTTCAGAAGACCCAATTGTAATTAAATATTAGCTACTGCTCGGACAAGATAAGCCAGTTTCTTCCCTCTACATTACAATGGTGATCATACCACAAACAACTTCGTTGGCTCTTTGAGATACTTTGAGACATTCAAAGATAGTGGAAGGTATTATAAAAATGAAAGTTTCTTCTTTTTCTATATGTTTTCAAACAAAGCTGGTGTGTAGTTTATATTGATCATGCAATCAATTGACCCTGATAAAAGTGCATGATGGTGACTGAGGTGGGCTCGGAGCATCATGATATGAAGGTTTCAGCTTTCACGTTTTCACCACACTGTGAATGAGTACATTTCTCCTGAACTCCCCTTTGGAGACTACCTTGAAATTAGGACCCACTGTTCTGGTATTCCACAATAGTAGAAACACCTTCACCATGTCTACTCCCTTAAACATTTACATTAGTTTTACTGTGTCGGAACTGGAACAGATGGAACCTACTTCAATATGAACCCTTGGATCTGACACACCAATGGCAGTTTCTCAAAATCAGAAGCAAGAGAGAGCCAGCAATAGAATGATTTCTAATAAAACACAAGCAAAGGTTGAATTACCTGCAGATTGAGTGCGATGCCATTGTAGTGGATTTAATAAACTGCTCATATTGAAAACCTTCCATTGATAATACATAAGGTGCAATGGAATCTGCTTGACAGATCAGTGGAGCTCAGCATTTCTCCAGTCATAAAGATCACTGTGTTTGCACTGACTGATCTCTTAATTACACTGTTAAAGCGTTTGTCCTAATTTGACTGAAATAAGCAGTCTTGGGATTGCAATGCTTGCTGATGCTTAACATCAGGTTGTGACAATCGTGTGGCTCAAATCAATGAACCTCTTCCTCACGTGTACCATCGATCTTGTCCACCTGAGAGTTTGACAATTCACACTCTTTATTTAGACAATCTGTTCCAATGTAAAAATGACCAGCATGATCCAGCTTCACCTGTGCAGTTGTACCAATGATGTCATGCCAGCACAACATTACATTTTAAATTAATATTAGGCTCCAGGGAATGCAGCAACAAAGCAGATTAGTCTGGAAATGTCTTTACAAGTCGATGTCTCTGGAGATTGTTAAATAGCCACTGAGTGACAATCTTAAAATGGTATAGCCACTGGACAGAAATCAGGCTATCTCACTGTCACCAGAAGTGCCCATTTTCCATTTACTGACAGATTATAATTGTTCTCGTGTGTTCCCCAATCTTGCAAGTGGTTTAAAATTTAATGTAAGAAATGGTTGCAGACTTGTTTGTGTGTTTCCTGTTTGGAGCTAATTTCTGAGCAATAAACATGGTCCTTTTGGCTGCAGTCACCTTCCTTAGCCATGGTCTGCAGTATTTTCATTGAATGAGAAAACCCAGCTCAACTGGACATGCTCAAAGTTTGTCTGGAAAGGTTGGCAAGGTGTGAGTTCGAGCTTTTGTGAGGAATGTGAGCCCAGCATGACCAGACACTTATAGACTGTGGTGTTGAACTTTTAACTGTTTCTTTGTTTTTCTACTTTTTAGTAAGAAGGACACTTTTAACCTTGTTTCTTTATTTTTCTGCTTTGTACCTAAGATTCTGTACCTAGGAACCTTGGGTATCTAAGATGGTGCCGTAAGTGGCGACTTGTAAACGTTTCACTTTATTCAAGTGAGTACATGTGACAATAAACCTAATTCTAATTCTAATATCTGCATGTGGATTGACCGACGAAAGAGTTCGGTTGGAGTCACAACATCTTCCATTTGACCTTATGTTTAGGATTGCTCTCCTCATGGTGACGTCAACAAATAATGTTTGAGAATTGCATCCTATGCAAGTGAACTGCACACTTCTTGTCTCTGTCAGAGATCTTCAGCCAAGCCCAAGTGGAAAGATCTATTCAGAATGGTGTTGCTCACTGTAAGATCATCCCTATGTTGCAAACTTGGCAATTCAGGAATGCCAGATACTTTAATTGCCTGAGCGTATCGCAACTGCTGGTACAGTGGATGCCAAAAGAGGAAAAAGAATCCATTCCAGTGGTAACGAAAACAGTGAGATCACAAGAATTGAGTTCAGTGTCTTGAGTTGAATTTTGAGTGGCCCAAACCAGGTGATTTAGGAGGCACGTAGGCATGTAGGTAGTGGGGGTTAATGTGAAAATGTGTGATGGGATGCGCTTGCCTGGAAACCTTATGTTGGTTCTGGATTTTACTAGCAGCAAGAAACTATAAGGCAACCTCACTGCCAAGAAACAAAGGGACTGAAATCAGAATTGCTAAGTCGGTGAAAAAGAATGTACTAGATTCATCTACAGGTTTTGCTTCTGGGTTTAGTGTTATCCAAAACTGTTTTAGTTTTCCTTATTCTGTAAGTAACTTAAGAGTCATAGAATCATAGAAATGTACAGCACAGAAACTGACCCTTTGGTCCAACTCGTCCATGCCGACCAGATATCCTAAATAAACCTAGTCCCATTTGCCAGCACCTGGCCCATATCCCTCTAAACCCTTCTTACCACGTATCCATCCAGATGCCTTTTAAATGTTGTAATTGTACCAGCTTCCGCCACTTCCTCTGGCAACTCATTCCATACACGTACCACCTCCTGTGTGAAAAAGTTGCCCCTTCAGTCCCATTTAAATCTTTACCCCTCACCTTAAACCTATGCCCTCTAGTTTTGGACTCTCCCACCCCAGGGCAAAGACCTTGTCTATTCACCCTATCCATGACCCTCATAATTTTATAAACCTCTATAAGGTCATCCATCAGCATTCAATACTCCAGGGAAAATAGCCCCAGCCTATTCAGCCTCTCCCTATAGCTCAAACCCTCCAAACCTGGCAATATTCTTGTAAATCTTTTTCTGAACCCTTTCAAGTTTTACAACATACTTCCTATTAGCAGGGAGACCAGATTTGCACACAGTGTTCCAAAAGTGGCCTGTACAGCCGCAACATGACCTCCCAACTCCAATACTCAATGCACTGACCAATAAAGGCAAGCATAGCAAATGCTTTCTTCACGACCTGCAAATCCACTTGGAGAAATTCTGCTCTGAAATCTCCTGATTAAGTTCACCATTTTTTTTCTCTATTGAACAAATTAGATTCAATTCTAAACTTGCCTTTCCCTTGAGAGTGACTTCTCTTGAACTATGTACATGCGTTCAGTTATTATTTTGTCTCTGGGTTTTAAGGTAGCTGTTAGTCCTCCCAGAAGCTTCAGCTCAGATCATCCTGGATTACGTAACTCCCTGCAGGATGGTTAAAAGACTCTCTTGGTTAATCACAGTTCAGTATCTGAAAGAACTGAATTTGCCACTCTAGTCTCTAACTTAAAGTGTATCTAACAGGATTGTAGCACTCCATCAATTTCTAACTACTTATTTAGTCGTTTCAAAGAAAGGTATCTCAATATCTTGATGAACATCTACTTCATGGAATTTTCTTATACTTTTTGAGTATTCTGCTCATTTTTCCTGTTCTGAAATGCCTCACCTCTTTGAACCAATGCCATTGCACATCTCTGGCAAGGCACTTCCCCTACCTGTGCCCTTTTCTTCCACACCAGCAATGTCTGGTCTGGGCTCCCACCATGAATTGCTTCTCACGCTGCAAGTGACTCTTTTTTCACTACTTTCCCATTTTGTCATGTTTGACGAATTGAATTGTATCTATTACTTTGGCATTCAATTCCTCTCTTTCTTTTGGCTGATTCTCAAGCAAGTCTGCTTCCTGATCTTGGCTCACCTTGTAAATTGAACCACCTTCATCAGCATAAAGTCTTGTCAAGGTTGCAAATTATATTATAATGCATCATCCACAATGACAGCAAGTAATGGTGGCTCAGTGGTTAGCACTGTAGCCTCACAGCATCAGGGACCTGGGTTCGATTCTATCCTTGTGCGACTGTTTGTGAGGCATTTGCACATTCTCTCCATGTCTGTGTGGGCTTGCTCCAGTTTCCTCTCATTGTCCAAAAATGTGCAGGTTAGGTGGATTGGCCATGCTAAATTGCCCATTGTGTCAGGGATGTGTAAGCTTGGTGGGTTAGCCGCGGGAAATGCAGGGTCGTGGAGATGGTGTGGGTCTGGGTGGGACGTTTTTCAGAGGGTTAGTGTGGACTTGATGGGCTGAATGGCCTATTTCCACGCTGTAGGGATTCTATGATTATATCATCTGTTGTGAATTAGCTCCTCTTTCAGATTATTATACTAACTATCTTCAGGTAATCAGTTCAAATAATTAATAAATACATTGACACTTCCCATGGCTCTGGCATGTCTATTGAATTTTATAAGTTCGTTAACGTTTTTTTTTTTGAGATTGAGATATGTCTTCAATAAATCAATAATGTTGACATATGTGACTTTATGCTCATTGATTTCAAAGGTAACTAAAATTTTGTCTGTGCAGTCACCCATTGCTTACAGTCTGGCTTTTCTGGGTGTCTTAGTGTGATGCAAATCAAACAAATCTATTACCATTTTGGTCACGTCTCTACCTGTAAGCTTCTGGGAACTATCCAGTAGAGGTAATCTTTTCTCTATCACCATCTTTTCACAGCTTGCCATCGTAGGTTATGATGTTGTCAGGTTGTTCAGTAGTTTCAATAACTTCCAAAGACTGCTAGCTGTAAAACACAATTATTTACGGTTATGAGAACACTCCCTTACACTAACTTCTTTTTCCACATTTTTCCTCTTACACTCTAAGTTCACATGAGTTTCTGTGACTTCCTTCAACGTCATCGCAGATTATTGCAGTCAACTCCTTAAAGGACTCAGTCTGATGTACTCCATTACACTTAGAGTCCCCAATAAGCCCTATTGAGGGTGTTACATAATGTGTGGGTCTACTGTTCTCTCCTCAGTTTGGCACTGCAGAGGTGGAGGTATTGCATCAGGTGAACATGGCTGACCCACTGGTCTTCATCTTCTGAGAAGCATGTGGTGCTTCACGTTGCTGGAATGGCAACATTCAATCAAAGAACCCTCGAACTGGATTTAAAATCACTGAAAGTCAGATGCAAATCTTATTTTTTCTATTAAATCCAATAAAGTTTGGACTAAATGGGATACCACCTGTCTCCTCCTTCCTGTCATTGTGCAGCACTGAGAGCTCAAGTCAGGCCACTCACTCAGAGCTGGGACAGTATGTAAACATAGCCAAGCACTACATCAGCAGGTCATTGAGTTCATACAATCCCTACAAGTTGCAAGCAGGCCATTTGGTCCATCAAGTCCATACCAATCATCCCAACCAGATGCACTCCCCTATCTATCCCTGCATTTCCCATAGCTAATCCACCTCACCTAACATCCCTGGACACAATGGGCAATTTAACATGGTCAATCCACCTAACCTATACATCTTGGACTGCAGGAGGAAATGGGAGCAGCTGGAGGAAACCCACACAGACATAGAGAGAGCACGCAAACTCCACACAGACAGCCACCAGAGGGTGGAATTGAACCCAGGTCTCTGACGCTATGAGGCAGCAGTGCTAACAACTGAGCCACCATGCCACCTTAAAGTTAGCAAGGGCAAGGGTGGCCTCTGCCTGGCCATGAAGGAAACTGTTGAGATTGACAATGATCTCTCTCGAACTGAAGGAAGACCAAAAAGAAGACCAGGTTTTTACACCCATAAAACACCAAGTTCATCAAAGTGATGTTCACATGTTCACTGAGTTCTGGTGCTGGTTTTTCTGCCTGCACTGCAGTGGAGAAAAGCTGCTGACTGCTTAAAGAAAAGGTTAAAAGCAGGGGAGAAATGATAAGCATTTAAAATAGCTTTACAGTAACGGGAATTAGAAAACACATTGAGAGGAAATGGAAAAAGATATAATACTTCCAAAAGGTCAGAAAAGGACCATACATGACACAAGGTTGGATTTCTTGGAGGAGACAGTTCTTAAGAATTGCTTTAATACTAAACACAAAATCTGAACAAATTAACATACTATTGTATTTGGAAGGTCTGATTGAAGGTGATGTTAATAATCTATAGAATATTAAAGACAGTACAGATATTTTGAAAATTTCCTCAAATCATTTGATAATTAATCAACTTAAGAACAAATAAAATTCTTGAATGTTCTTGCCAATATAAAGGCAGGTCTCAAAGTTAGCCATTGTAGCAAAACATATCAGTAAATCAATGTCAATGGGCAAAGACTGGCTTTATAAGTTAGGCTGGAAGCATGTTTTCCAATTTGAGAAGACTAAGAAGTTTAATCAATTATTGATCCCCAATGTGTCAAAGACTGGCAGATCATATCAAACATCCTATGCCCTTGGCTGGTCTGACAGCATCTGTGGAGAGAAATCTGAGTTCTGAGGAAGGGTCACTGCACCCGAAACATTAACTCATGATTTCTCTCCCCAAATGTTGCCAGACCATATGAGCTTTTCCAACAATTTCTATTTGTGTTTCTGATTTCCAGCATCCACAGTTTTTTTTTATGCTTCGGGCTGTTTGCAACAAGTACATTCTGCAGCTGGACAACATTTGCTAAATAATTCCAAGTGTGATAAAAATAATGCCTACAACTAATTTATGATTGTCAATTGGGCTGGTAGTGTGGCGTAATATTTCTCTTAAAAATACACAGAACCCTGTTCTTTGCAAACAGAAACAACATGTACATACACACAGTGTATCTGTTCCAACTCATCAAAACAGACAAAAGCCATACAGTAGCTTATTTCCCAGGGCAATACCTTGACCAATCAGTCAAATTTAAACAATGCGTGGTTGTTAATTATCAATCATTATCTAACTGGTTCATTCTCAATGGCAACACAAGTATCAATCAGAATCCACTTTCCAACCAATCAGCAGTCTCTACATGCAGTATAAAAGGATGATTTTCCCATTTTATATATACAATATATAAAGGTAAAATTGTTCAGATGCTGGCAATCTGAAATAAAAGCTGAAGGTGCTGGAGCAATTCAACAGGTCTGGCAGTGTTTGTAGGCTTTTCTTCCTATTTTCCTTGGTCTATTGGGTTTACACTGGATACTAATAACCCAAGGCAGGGCTGACAATGAGATATACTCAATGTTCTTTGTTATGCTTATTAATATGTTCATTTATTATTTTGTTCTTTACATTGTTCCAATCACAAGTGAACCTGTTTATGTGCTCTGTCTCACCTCCAGTTACTGACCAGATGCCCCCATCCTGAGCTAGCTAACTAACACAAGGAAAGCTTTCTTAAGCCCTTTCTCTAAACAAGCAAGGCCATGTGTCCAAACTGACATTGTCCAGACTCCAGCTATTTGGTCAGTTTGACCACTGGCAAAAATCACAAATGTGTCATGTTTTCCATGGCTGGTTTGATTAATTACTCATTAGGAATTGCTTGTTTTTCCTGGAATGAGGGTTATCTCTTTATTTTAATGAACAATGACCTCAGTTTAGCTTGCTCAGGCTGTTGCTACCTATATGTCATCCAATCAGATGTATAACAGTACAATTCTATAATCACATACTCTCTGGTTAGCTGATAAATAGTCACAATATGCATCTGATATCCTTGTCTGTTTTAAACCAAGACTCCAACGACCAATGGGGTGGCACAGTGAGTCAGTGGTTAGCACTGCTGCCTCACAGTGCCAAGGACCTGAGTTTGATTCCTGCCATTGATGACTGTCTGTGTGGACTTTGCATGTTCTCCCTGTGTCTGCATGAGTCTCCTTGGGATGCTGTGGTTTCCTCCCACAGTCCAAAAATGTGCACGTTAGTTGGATTGGCCATGCTGAAATTGTAGTGTTCAGGGATGCATAAGATCTATGGCAGATTAGCCTTAGTACATACAAGGTTATGGGTATAAGGTGGACGGCTGGATCTGGGTGAGAGGCTCTTCGGAGGGTTGGTATAGACTCTATGGGCCAAATGGCCTCCTTCTGCTCTGTAGGGATTCTATGATTCATTGTGACAATTTAGTCCATTCCTGTTGACTTACAGCATTTAATCCAAACACGGAAATACATTAAAACTAGTAACATTTCTAACCATTAGGTCATTATCTAATAGTTAATGTTTTAATAGAGCAGGCTTCATATGCTTTTTCTTCTCATTCGGCTAACCCAGCAAATTTTAGATTAGTACCTTTATGTTTTAGCTACCATGAGTTTTCCTGTTACACTGGTATTTCTTATGCATAGCCCTGATGAGTGCAAAATATAAAGCTTCAACAAAATTATTCTTCTTTCAATAATATTCAAGTTCTGTGCTATCAAATCGAATTATCGAATAACTGCAGCATACATTTCAAGAATGGAAGTATAACTGGCCTGAAATTGCACTTTCAGATCAGGCCTGATCCACGACCAACAGCTGGTTTTGTACTCTTACAAAACCCAGGTTGAAGAGGAACTAAAGACGCTAGAGAGAAATGGTGTGGTAGTGGAATCTGACCACAGTAACTGGGCAAACACAAATGAAAGACTATCCAAGTCAGACAAAACTGTATGACGATTCAGGGGATAGAAAGTCACAATCTACCAGAAACTGCGTAAAAACTGAAAGAACTGCGGATGTTGGTAATTAGAAAAGCTCAGCAAGTCTGGCAGCATCTGTGGAGAGAAATCAGAGTTAACGTTTTGGGTCCAGTAATGCTTTCTCAGAACTCAGAAGTTGCTTTTCCAGCAATTTCCGTTTTTGTATCAAAGGAAAATTAGCACTATTCATTTCCAACTTCTCAAGATTTAATGTGAAGTTACAGGATCCAAACCATTTATCAAGTTGAGTGTCTCCAATTCTTATTCATAGTTTAGTGTGGATCAAGAGAGTATTCAGGACTTCACAATAAACACACAAGGGTTATACTTGTATTAATTTCTTGGATCAAACATTACTGACAGCATGATATGGTCCAAGTACTTCCCTATGTCTTAGATTGCATAACATATATCGCAAAGAACATTCTTGTTGAGACAGGTGTCATGACGTTTATTAACAACAGAAACTATTTACGTTGTTATGACATCTCAGACTCACACATGGTCTGGTTCTGTGCTTATTGACTATTACTGTTGCATTACATATACGCAACTCACTGAGTGAACACACTACACTGACTCCTTTACACTGAGGAGGGAGTGAATAAAATTTACACCAGTGGGTCACATGGTCACGTAACAGTATTAAAAGTACACGGTTATCCATGCAATAACACAACATCCTCAATTTTCCTTTAAAGAATTCCTTTCCAACAAACATATACAACAAAACAAGTAGGTGCATTATCTGTACACATTAAGATAACATGTTTGTGAATGTGTAACACAAACAGATCTAGTCCTTATAGTTATCATGTCCTGGCAGACCAGCTTCACTCTGCATTCACTATCTATCTTCACAGTTGAATGTAAATCTTTGGTCATCGGTATGTAGTTACTGTCTGGCATCATATCTTCAGTATCTGAGTCGTCATTCAACTTATTGGTGGTTAATGGTACGACCCTCTCAAATTTCTAATCAAATGTTGATCTTGCTTTTGTACACCTCCTGTGCAGCTGTAATTTTGTATACCTCACTCTGGTCAATTACCCTACTATCTGTATGTCCCTGCATATTATGATCTGCCAGCATGCATGCAAAACAAAATTTTCACTATAC